CACTGCCTAGTTTGGTTCATTCTCAGAATGCTCTGGATCTGTGATCCCAAAATGGGGATTGGGCAATAAACCTGCTTGTTGGCATCTGTGGCCATCACCGTGCCTTTGTATGAATCTGGGGATACCCCAGATCCAGTATGGTCTGAGACTCTCCTCTGTCCCTGGTGTACAACCTCCCCCTGGCCACTGAAGGGCTCAGAATGCTCCTGATCTGACTCCCCAGGGTCCACAGACCCTCCTGTCTGTTTCCTGATGATAAGCTGGGCTGGACAAATGGCTCTATTACTTGTATTTTCTATGTCTGTTTGGAAAAGTGTTATGAAAAGGAACTTGACAGTACTGTTTCCTACTATTCCACTATCTTGACTCTGTCTCCTCCTTTAGACATCTTAAACTCAACATGAAAAAAACTAAACTCATTATCTTTTTCCTAAATGCTTCCCCCTTACAAACTTCTGTATTACAGGCAAAGATACCACCATCCCCCCAGTCCCCCAGGTTCATACCTAGGTGTCATCCTCACCTCCTCATTATCTCTCACCCCTCACCCCAATATCCAATCTGTTGCCAAAGTCTACTGATTTCACCTTTGCAGCATCTCTCAGATATACCCCTTCTCTTCTCTGATACTGTCACTACCCTGGTACAGGCCCTCATCACCTCGTGCTGGGACTATTGTAATAACCTGCTGGTGAGTCTACCTGCCTCAAGCCTCTCCCCCTTCCAATCCATCCTCCATTTAGCTGCCAAAATAATTTTTCTAAGGCACAGGTCTCACCATGGCACTCTCCTATTCAATAAATACTATCCTATTACCTTCAGTATCAAATACAAAATTCCTTCATATCTTTCCCCACACAAACATACATTTCTAGCTTCTTCTACCCTATGTCCCTTCCACCATCACCATGTACTGTTTGACCCATTGACACAGGCCTCCTTGGTGTTCCTTGAATAAGACATTCCCATCTCCTGACTCTGGAAATTTTCTCTGGCTGTCCCCCATGCTTGGAATACTCTTCCTCCTTATCTCTGTCTCCTGACTTCCTGGGTTTCCATTCAAGTTCCAATTAAAATCCCACCTTCTATAGGAAGTCTCTCTCAATCTTTCTTAATTTCAGTGCTTTTTCTCTGTTTATTATTTCCTATTTATCCTGTATATAGCTAGTTTGTACATATTTGTTTGCATGTTATCTCACCCATTAGGTGTCAGCTCCTCAAGGTCAGTGACTATCTTTTGCTTTTCTTTGTATCTCAAGCATTTAGTACAGTGCCTAGCATATAGTAGGTGCTTAATAAATGTTAATTGACTAACTGACAAAACCAGTATCATAGCAATAGGGCACTAAAGGAGTGGAAAGTTTAATAAGACAGGAAACCACAGGACTGAAGACCTGAGAAGAGTCTAGAAAAGTTTTTGTACAAATAAAACAGATATAGCCAAGACCAGAGGGAAAGCAGAAAACGGGAGTAGAGGTGGGGGCATGAATTTTATAGAGTTTCTCAGATAAAGGTCTCATATCTCAAATAAATAAAGAACTTTGTCAAATACATAAGAATATGAGTAATTTCCCAGTTGATAAATCGTCAAAGGATACGAACAGGCAGTTTTTAGATAAATCAAAACAATTTATAGTCATATGAAAAAATGCTCTAAATCATTTTGATTGAGTCCAAGTTTTTTGTTTTGTTTTTTTTTAGGTGAGGCAATTGGGGTTAAATGACTTGCCCAGAGTCACACAGCTAGTGAGTGTTACGTATCTTAGGCCGGATTTGAACTCAGGTTAAGGTGATTCCAAGGCCAGTACTCTATCTACTGCGCCACCTAGCTGCCCCTGAGTCCAAGTTTTACAAAACAAATCCTTTTATTAAGGGGATTTGTTCTAAGAAGTTTGGATTCAGTCAAAGTGCTGCACCTGAGGACCTAGAGGGCCACATGTGGCTCAAACCTGCACCCCACCCCACCAATATTGATTACAGAAATGCAAATTAAAACAACCTTGAGATATCACTTTATACCTATCAGATTGACTAAAATGATTGAAGGGGAAAGTGACAAGTGTTGGAAGGGATGTGGAAAAATTGGGACACTAATTCATTGTTGGTGGAATTGTGAACTGATCCAACCATTTTGGAGAGCAATCTGGAATTATACCCAAAGAGTTATTAAACTACCTATGCTCTTTGACCCAGTAATACCACTACTGGGTCTATTTCCAAAGATGAATAGAAAAAAAGGAAAAGAATCTATGTGTTCTATGTTTATAGCAGCTCTTTTTGTGGTGGCACAGAACTGGAAATTGCAGGGATACCCATCAATTAGGGAATGGCTAAACAAGTTGTAGTATACGATTGTGATGAAATACTACTGTGCTGTAAGAAATGACGAGCTCAATAATCTTAGAAAAACATGTATAGACTTGCATGAAATAATGAAAAATGAAATGAGCAGAACAAGAGAATGGTGTATACGGTAACAGCAATATTGTTTTAAGAACAACTTTGAGCAAACAAGTAATATGAAGGAAGACACTATCTGCATTCAGAAAAAGAACTGATGAATGGAAATATGTATAGAACAATTTTACTTACACACACATATTTGTGTCTAATGGTAGTCATTGCTAGGGTGAAGGGCGAGGGAAAAAAGGGAAAAAAGAAGTTTACATGATAATATTTGAAGAGAATATCAAGTTGTGCCTAGTAGACTTGCAGTTTCATGTGCAATCATCTTCTTAATTTTACTATGCTATGGAAATGCTTGTTTTATTCCATAAGTTAAAAATAAAATAAAGAAAAATTAAAAAAGGAAAAAAGCAAAGAAACAAAGGGCAATAAGGTAGAGAGAGTCATATTGAAGAAGATGCTAATCTGGACTTTGGCCTTTATTGGTGCCATGAGTCATATGGACTATGCTGGTCTAGTAGTAGGTAAAGTTTGACTGTCTAGTGAAAACAAGCCACATGTTACTATAAGTTAGGTGGAGCATTAAGTAGGTTTTTGTGGGAAGAGAAGGGAATCTTCCTGATTGTTTATGGGCTCAGGTATATGTCTTTACATTTTTTCCTTTATAGAAATGAAACATTTGTAATGTTTGATGTTATTCATTTAAGTGCTTGCAGGTTAGGTGAGAACCATTCTTGGAAAACAAAATGAGCTTGACATTGAAATTCTCTGGATTCCTCTAGGTGAGTGGTTGAGCCAAGGAGACTTGAAAGTGAGAATAGTATTTGAGTCCTTGCATCTAGAGGAAATGCTTCAATGACTCCCTATTACTTCTAGGATATGATTCTTTTGTCATTTGAAGACCTTCAAAATCTAGTTACAATTTATCTTTCCCGACAGATCACATACTGCTCTCTCTAACAGTCTTTGTTCCAGCCAAACTGACCTCCTTGTGTTTCCCCTTCCGTAACCTTCCATCTCCTTCTTTATGACTTTGAACAAAGCATTCCCCATGCCTGCAATGCTCTTCTTTGCCTCTTTGAACCCCTTGAAGCTTCCTTGAAGATGGAGTTCGAAAGTCACCTCCTACAAGAAGGCTTTCTTGATTCTCCCAGTTGTTAGCTCTACATTACTTTGTATTCATTTTTATACAGTTTATATTTGCTTATCTGTACAAATTGTTTCCCTCCAATAGATTATTAACTTGAAGACAGGAACTCTTTTCTCCCCCTTTTCGTATCCCTAGCACCTACTGGCATTCATTAAGGTTTGAGTAAATGCTTGTTGAGATGAATGATTCAAAGCCAAGACCTCCTACAGAAGCCCAGAAAGAGCAGAAATACTTGGGACAGCAGGTGTGAATTATGGAAGGCTGCACAGAAGAGCTGACACCTGTACTAAGCCTGGAAAGAAAGGAAGAATTCTGAGAGATGAAGATAAGGAGAAGAGTAAATTGCAGTTGCTGGGGACAGATTGTGAAGGCAGGAGGTTGAATGTTGGGTTTAGAGATGTCCCAGCAGCCCGGTTTGCCTGCAACGTGAAGTTCTTAAAAATGAATGATGTGAAATAAAGCTATAAAGCAGGTAGATTGAAGTCAAATGGGGAGGTTGGGGGGGGGGGGGGGACCTCCACAATCCAGGCTGAGAAGTTGGCATTTTATTCTAGAAATAAAAGGAAATCAATGAAGATTTTTTGATCAGGGAAGGATCATGGTCAGGCCAGTAACTTAAGATTATTTTGGCAGCTGGGTGAAGAAGGGATTGAAGAAGGCAGAGACAAGAGGCAGGGAGAATATTAGAATGCTAATATTTTCTCAGAGAAGTTGATAATGCACCGACCCCTATGTTTAGTGGCCTTGATAGAACGGGAATGGATATGAGAGATTTTGTGAATATAGAATTGTTAAGTCTTGACAACTAAGTGGGTATAGGGGTAATGGTGTGAAAGAAAAGAAAAGTCAAGGAAGACTCCAAGGTTAGACACCTGAATGACTGAGAGAATGGTGGTATTCTTAACAGAACTAGAGTTAGACAAATGAGGTAATTTCTTGAGGTCCCCTCCATCATATGATTCTATGAAGAATTTATAAATATGAATGAGATCTTATGAGCTTGCACTAAAAATGTTACCCCAAAAAACATGAATATGATATATGAAAAGATACTCAAGTAGTAATTCCTTGCAGGTGAATTTCCTGGGGAAAAAAACTGAAGAGAAAGCAAGAATATGACTTATGACTAAAACTGATTGATAATAAACCTGCTGTGGCTGGAAAGACACAAACCAAGAAAATAGAAAGGAGCCACCATTCAGGGCAACCTGAATTCTGCCCCGATGGTCACTCTCAGGTTTTCCTGTGCATTTCTGCTGACTGGAATGCCTTCACTATGAGCTCATGTCTTTCCAGAAAAAATCCCACTTAATGCCTTCATTCAGTCAAAGGGGTATATATAGGGGAGTTCTGTAGCTCAGTGCTACGCAGCCCAGGGAACACCACCACTCTCCCTAAAGTGCTTGCATTGTCTTCTCAACTTTTCACCCTTTTGCCAGCAGACATGGACATTACTATCCAGCACCCCTGGTTCAAACGTGCTCTTGGATCCTTATATCCAAGCCGCTTGTTTGACCAGTTTTTTGGAGAAGGCCTTTTTGAATATGACCTCCTGCCTTTCCTCTCCTCCACCATCAGCCCTTATTACCGGCAGTCACTCTTCCGAACTGTCTTGGAATCAGGCATTTCTGAGGTAAGAATCTGTTTGTTCCCCACAGTAGCTACCCTTTTCCTTTGTCAGTTTTCTTATAGATAGTCAGAGGTGATGATAACCCAGAGACCTTTTGGAGGAGGAAATTGTGGTTTGACTACGTGTCTGCTCCAGCAGCGTACACTATATTTTAGGCTGATGTCCTCAGGCTCTGTTATTCATGTTGCACGCGGCAGGTGCATGAGGTTCACTGACCAGCCTTATTCCTGTCTCCCAAATCCCCATCGGAATTCTCAGATTAATAGATGTCTCCATTTGGTCAAGCAAAAACAGAACTGGTGCTTGGCACTTACCAGTTGTTAATTCTAGCTGCATGATTGCACCTTTAATGGAGAAAGACTGCAGCAGCAGAACTGTACTCTAGTCTACTCCATGTCCCTGGGAAGGGGGGAGCTGAAGATAAATCCAAACTGAGCACGACCGTTCTCTTTTCCTCCCATCAGCTCATGACCCATGTGTGGTTTGAAATGCACAAACCACATGCTGGAAACCCCAAGAACAACCCTACCAAGGCAAGTTGTCTGTGTTCAGCTGCTTCCCCAACTGTCTGCTCTGGGCTGTGAAAGCCAGGCTGGGGGTGGGCGCTTCCTTGTATCCTCCAAGTCACTCTATCTAGGGTTTCCTCTCCAGCAAATTGCAGAAAATTTAGAGTCTCTTCCCTATTGGGTTAGTGGAATCTCCCAGTGCCTGCTCTAAAAAAAAAAAAAAAAATGCACCAAAAGTAACTCTACAAAAATCTAGGAAACTGATAAAAGGGCTGATTAAGTAGAAGATGTATGATAATAACTGATATTTATAGAGCATTTATTTGAAAGCTGGCAAGGTGCTGACACATGTTATATATCATTTGATCCTCACAAAAACCCTGTGAGGTAAGTACTCTAAAAATTATTATCCTCCTCTTACAAATGAGAAAAACGATGCTTAGAGAGGGTAAATGACTTGTCCGTGGTCACTCAGCTAGTAAGGGTCAAAAGTATGATTTGAATTCAGGTCTTCTTGACTCTAATCTCTAAATGTGCAATCCAGTATGCCACAATGATTCTGTTAGTATAAGGGCTTAATAAGTAATACCCAAATGCTCAAAGGAAAGACGGGTTATGTGAAAATATGCCACAACAATAATCTTATTCACCCATCACTTGAAACAGAAAGCTTCTTAAGAGTGTTAAAATGAATCAGGGATACAGTTATTTAACACTCCAGACAAGATAGAGATGGTAGCACTGTCTATATGTGCAAAGTGAATTGCAGAGTGGAGACAATTATGCCAAACCCTTAGGCAAAATGAACAAACAAATTAAAAACCCATTATTGAGAAAACAGAATTTTTTTTTTTTTGGAACTTAAAGACTGAGAGTGTCTATGGATTCACCAAATAACTCAACCCACCTCATTTTGCTTTTAGAGACTTACTCTACATCCCCTATCTTAAAAATGGAAGGAGCCACAGATCCATTCTAATTCCTTTAGCTTTCTACAGTCCATCTCAGGGAACATGGAAGAGAATTGTTTCCTTGTCCACCAACAGGCTCTGCCAGGTGGTTGGTAAATCTGCATGTGACGTTTTAATTTCAGGTGAGATCTGACCGAGACAAGTTTGTTATCTTCCTGGATGTCAAACACTTCTCTCCTGAAGACTTGACCGTGAAGGTATTGGATGACTTTGTGGAAATTCACGGGAAGCACAGTGAAAGACAGGTAAGACAAAAAGCCATTAGCATCCATCATTAGCAAACCATTTGTGGTTTATCTTGTTATCTTTGAAGTCCTTTAGTTGGACTGAGAAAGAGGAGGAGTTGAGTCAGGGAGAATAGGACAGTGAATGAATTATTTAAATTAAATCAATTTCTTCTGAGGGTCACGATGTATCCTCAATAACCTCTCAGAAGATAAAACAAAGCAATGTAAGTGATTATCAGCAGGGCAGTCTGACAGAATACACCAACCCTCAAGTGGCAGTATTGGATTTCAAATATGCCTCCACTGCCAATTTTGCTTTGTAAAAACTGCTCAACTTTAATTTAGTTGCTCCATCAGCCTCTTTGACTGCCAGGAAAATACTTCAAATATATAAAGGACCTATGATTTCCTCATGTGGGAACTCCTTCTACCTAAAGGCAGATAACAGCCTGCTCATGATTTATAGTCTTAGAACGGTACCTGAGATTTATGCAGATTGTGACGTGACTTGGTCACACATAAATATGAGTGTCAGAGAGGGGATCTATACTCAGGGCTTTAGATCTCCGAGTCTTATGCTGTATCAAAGGTGTCTCTTTTGCTAGGAGAATGGTTTAATTAAATGAGCTAAGATTTGTGCTAAGCTCCTTAAATAGAGATGGCTTTGTTTTGGTCTGTACGTTCCCAGAACCTAGATCATTTCCTTGCTTAATAAATAGATGCTTAAGAAATATTTCAATAGAGCAGAGTTGCCTTTAAGGTATATGATTGAAACGTCATGAGCAAATACTGAGAGTCATTATTAATTCTAGTGTCCCAAAGTGTATCATCTGTATGACTTTACCATGTCATCTATAGGATTCAGTCTTAAGCTTAAACAGGAATACCAGGGCATTAATTAGACACATCTTGGTTCATAACAATCAAACATTGAACTGTGTTTTGATTCAGGGAAAGCTAAAGCAAGTATGCTATCTAAAGCAGACACAGGACTTCTGACTTTTCACATGGCAGTATGCCTAGCATAAATGAGAAGAACAAATAAAACAGTCTTAGGTTTGGAAATTTTCCAAACATGATATGCAAAATTGAAATAAGACTATGTAGTATATAAATGTTGATTGAGTTGAATTGAAATGAAATAGAATGTTAGCAGAAGTCTTAATGTCCTTCTCAAAGTTATAACCTTCCCTGAAATGTGAGGCACTTAAGAACAAGCCCCCAACTTTCCTACCTGTAGTAAAATCATGCCACCTTAAGTCTTAGTTCTGCTACCTCTCTGTATTCCTGGGATATTTTAATTTAATTTAATTCCTGGGACCACTTTAATTTCATCTAGCCAATGAGACATTTCTCCATCTTATCTTATTTAATTGATATCTTTAGCTTACAGAAAAGAGAATGTTGTTGGATCTACAAAATTTGAAGCTAAGAGATTTGAAACTAATTTTCCTTTAGATGGGTCTTTTTATTCCCATGTTACTTTATTGCTATAACTCCTAACCATATAATATGTGTGTGTGTTCACAGATATACATGTATGTTGTTATTCAAGTCATTTCAGTCATGTCTGACTTGTTGTGATCCCACTTGGGATTTTCTGAGCAAAGATGCTGGTGCAGTTTCCTTCTCTAGCCCATTATACAGATGAGGAAACTGAGGCAAACAGAGTTAAGTGACTTGCCCAGGGTCACAAAACTACTGAAGCCAGATTTGAGCTCATGAAGATTGTCTTCCTGATTCCAAATTCAGTGTTCTATCCACTGCGCTTTGTATTCCCATTGCCCCATATATGTGTACAAAAATGTTTAAAAATACAGTGGGACTATCAGTGGGACTATTTTTTAATGAAGCATTATTTTAATTCAAGAATTAAATTGATGTAATTGGAAGAACCAATATCCTGGTCATAGAATGACCATATAAAAAAGGCCTAGGAAACCTACTGTAAAAATTCTATTTTTACATTTTTTGTTTTGAAATAGAGGTGTGGCTGGAAACAGTTTTTAAAGAAAGAAACTAACGTAATCCATGGCCCCAAACTCTAAGCTCTGGTTTGCTTGAACTGGATTTGAAATCAGGAGACTTCTAAAGAATTACCTCTCTGACTCATGTTGTTCCCTCTCAAAGATTTCTCTGGGAAATATTGGAATATAGCTTGTTTCTAGGTCTCCAGAGTTGTGGATAAAGCTCTTTTCCAAGGGCTCTTCCAAGCCATGAATATAACAACAAACATTGTCTACAGTAGTCTTTTACCTCTACAACAATTTAGAAAACACATTAAGAAATCACAGTATTCCATAAACAATGGAAATTCTTTCCACATTTTTGGTCACTATGATCTTCCCCAACCTTTTACCGTTACTCTGGTACCTATAAAGGTCCCCAGGGACATAGCACCATAATCAGTTGTTTGGATCAGTGGTATCAAACTCAAATAGAAATAGATATCCATAGCCTGCAAATTGACTTATAATACCACAAGTTAACATTGTCTATATGGTATTATATTTTTATTTATTTTGTTAAATATTTCCCAATTACATTGTGATCTGATTCTGGTGGCACTCAAGAGTTTTATAGGCTGGCATACACCCATATCATGGTTTGATATTTCTTGTTTGAATTATGCTCGGAAGGGAAATATATTTGAGGTCGCTAAACATGCAACAATCCCTTCTGTCCAATACTCTAGTGAGTCCCACTTTCACTCTGGGGCACTCTGACCTAATGGTACTACTTTAAGTACATAGTAGGAAAGTTCCCTTAACTCAGGAAGGGAAACAAATTTGGACTTGGTGGAGAGAAAACCCTTTTTCCATTGGCCCTGCATTTTTTCGGATAATTTTTGGTAGTAGTAGAGAGCCAAGTTGAAGTCTTTTGCTCTCCTATTTTGGAGCTCAATCCCTTGATCGTCCTCCAGCTGTAGAGCCATGTATGTACACAATCTTTTTTTCTGCTCAAATGGCTGGCAGCGTCCAACAACTCTCTCTTCTCTTTAGAATTCTAGATTTCAAAATTTCCAGGAAATATCCCTTCCTCTATTCAGAAAGCTAGAATTCAAGATTTTTTGCTGTTCCTTCAAAAGGTTGAGGTTCAGGAATTCCCACTACTGAGCCACAAGGTTCCCCTTCCACAACTGTCATCTCTGGGGCTGAAGTTACACTTCATATCTAGGGGCAGGAATCTAGGGTCCAGGACCATTCTTGGGGCCGCATAGTTAACAGGCTCCACCACTGCCCCTAAAAGACTTCTTTCAGGCTGTATGGATAAGAGTATGTGTAATTACATGGTACTTCTGCCCCAAGGCTGCCATTAACAGCTCCCAACTGAGGAAGGCTGTATGCATGTATAGACTTCACCCCCCCTCCCCCCAAGGTTTGTTCTACTGCTGTCTAGTCTCATTTGAGAGTGCTTTAGAAATTTTATCTCCTTTGATCCTCACAACAACCCTGGGAGATAGGTGCTATTATTATTTTACAATCAAGGAAACTGAGGCTGAAATCAAGTGATTTTTCCAGTCACACAAGTAGTAAATGTCTGAGTTCAGATTTGAACTCAGTTCTTGCTGACTCCAGGCCCAGTGTTCTATCCACTGCATCACCTAGCCCAGCCCAATCAACTTATTTCAATCAATGAGACTTAAGAAGACTCTCTAATCCTCAATGAGGTGTAGTTGTATCCCAGTTCTATCAATGATACTGTCTTCATGGTGAGATACAAAGTCCTAAAAAAAGGTTTAGTACCCTGTAAACTCATCATGTTTATTCCTTCATCTAAAGCTATATAATAGCTTTTTGTTTAGGATGTGTGAATTCTTTGCACATTAGAGAACTGTGGTAGTTTTATGCCTACTCCACGTATGCAAAGTATGTGTTACATATAGCCTGAAGGACTTCCAAATTCATTATAGAATTAGAATTCTGAGGCATGGAATACCTATAATCACAGGAGACAGTGGATAGCCCTCTGCCTTTGAATAGTCATTCTTTCCTACCTTTGCCTTCCGCCAGGATGACCATGGCTATATTTCCCGTGAATTCCATCGTCGCTACCGCCTGCCTTCCAACGTGGATCAGGCCTCCATTTCCTGCTCCCTGTCTGCTGATGGCATGCTGACCTTCTCTGGTCCCAAGATCCATTCTAACATGGATTCAAGTCACAGTGATCGATCCATCCCTGTATCTCGTGAGGAGAAGCCCACCCTGGCTCCCTCTTCCTAAGCTGAGGCAACGTGAGTCACATAGGCTGCTACCATCTGCAGTCTTTCCTCACAAAGCCATTGCATAGATACCAGGGGAAAATGTAGAAAAGTCAGGGTTGTTTTTTTTCCTCTGCTCTATCCCCTCTTTTTTTGTTGTTGTTTTCATTTTCTTAGATGGGATGAAGGTCTGAGAGAGTCTGAGACATTGTGCCTTGAGGCCTAAAATCTAAAGAGCTGTGATGTTAGTGATGACCTAAAATCTAAATGTTAAAACCCAAATCCCATCACCTGGCTGATTTGCAGAAATGGCCATTGTCCTATGCTGTTTTTAATAACATCTTCAAGTGACTGAGAGTGTTCCTGGTGTTAACCTCCAATAAACCAAATGAAGAAGAATCAACAACCGAGCTGATCAATGTGAAGAGAAATTGAACTAGAGGGAGTGGGGAGTAATAGACATTTAAGAAAGAACCTCCAGGTAATTCAAAGGTTCACATATGACACAACCTAATATATGCAGGTCACAGCTGGATTTTTAGACAGGTGTATCCCAATAGCAAGGATGTTAGTGTCTGTTAGCGATGCTTCCTACGACAGCAAGGAGTAGGCGTTTCACAGCTTTGGAGATTCTGTGAGAGAGTTACATCATAATATTAAGGCTTCAAATCCCCACTGGGATCTCACAGGGCTGTATGTCTCAGACGACCTTTCTCAAAATCTTAAAATTTCTAACATAGGTTCACCACAATGTAAGAATACCACCACTGGCCACCAATAAAGTAAATGTGACATGAGCAAACCATGGCTTTGTGTCAATTTCTTTCTTTCTTTTTTTTTGGTGAGGCAATTGGGGTTAAGTGACTTGCCTAGGGTCACACAGCTAGTGTCAAGTGTCTGAGGCCAGATTTGAACTCAGGTCCTCCTGACTCCAGGGCCTGTGCTCCACCCACTGCACCACCTAGCTGCCTCAAATTCTTTCTTTTCTTGGGGTTTGGAATGGAAAGGATAAATGTGTCGACCTGGTGAGAAAGAAGGTTCAAACACGACTATTATTAAACGTTGAAGTTTGGGGAGAAAGAATTGAAATTCTTCCCCCTCTTTGCCAAGGTGTTAGTTTTCTGTGTCCTACAATGATCAGACCACATCTGGAGTATTGTATTCAGTTTGGTACATTGAAATTTGAGGATGACATTGATAAGTTGGAGTGCATTCGAAGAAAAGTGACCAAGATAATAAGATGATTCAAAGCCATGCCACATGAGGATGGGAAAAAGGAACTAGGAATGTTTAGCTAGGAGAAGAGGCACATTTAAGGAGACATCTGTGGGATTACAGAGGGCTAAAGGGTAAAAGTAAAGCAGCCAGGTGGTACAATGGTTAGAGTGCTGACCCTGAAGTCAGGAAGACCTGAGTTCACATGTGACTTCAGACATTTACTAGCTGTGTGACCCCTGGGTCAGTCACTGTTTGTCTCAGTTTCCTCATTCTAAAATGAGATAATAATAGCACCTTTCTCTTAGGGGTTTTATGAGATCAAAAAAGATGATATTTTAAAGCATTTAGCACAATAGGTGCTATATAAATACTTATTCCTTTCCCAAGTAACCATGAAAGAAATTGTAAAATTTAAAATTCAATAAAAAGAATTTAACAATTAGAGATGTCCAATAATGAAAGATTATGGTGTGAGGTTATGGTCAAGAGCTTATGGTGATGATAACAATAATAACAATTGCATTTATATGGTGCTTTAAGATTTACAAAGAGCTTCACAAATATGACCTCATTTTCTCCTCACAACAATCCTGGGAGGTAGGTGCTATTATTACCTCCATTTTGCAGATGAGGAAACAGACAGATAAAGGTGAAATGACTTGTCCAAGGTAATGCAGCTAAGTGTCTGAGAACAGATTTTAACCTAGGTCTTCCTGATTCCAGGCTCAGTGCTCTCAGTGCTCTAGCCACCATCTCGTTTGATTCCCAGTGCACCCCCCCCCATTAAAGGGGCCATCCCTCAGCTCACTCCTTAAACAGCCCTAATCACTGAATGGGCATTGCCTCAGGCAAAGTGAGAACTTGGAAAGACCTTAGCTTAAAAAGACCAAGGTCCCCCACTACAACCTGGGCCATCTCCAGTTGCCCCGATCCATATCTGGCCACTGGACTCAGATGTACCACCCTACTTCCAGGCATCATAACCTATATTCATGACTACAACTTCTTTTTGCCTCCTTCCAATCAATTTTACAGATGGCTTCCAGATATAGCTTCCCAAAGCTCAGGGTTGATCTAATAACTACCTTAATGTTTCATTAAGACCATGATTTTTATCAATGTGAGTATTCTCTTCGTTGGTGAAACATGCAACCCACCTGTGCCTCCTTATCCTATGAAGTCTTCATCCATGTTTTCTCACATGTCCTCCATGGGGGAATCTATCCAGTGGCTTACTTGCTGACATTCATATAGTGTTTTAAGGTTTGCAAATTGTTTTAAGTATATTACCTCTTTTGAGTCTCACAACCATCTGATGAGGTAGATACTATAATTATCTCCATTTTATAGATGAACACATTGAGGCTCAGAGCAAGATATTAAATGACTTGCCTATGTCCACACAACTATAAACAGGTGGATTTAAACCCAGGTCTTCATGACTCTAGGTTCAACCTTCTATCCATGACAGTGTGCTATCTCAATGTTTCACTTAAACTGTCCTGTCCTGTTATACAAGTGGTTTACCTCTGTTTAAAAATATTTCTTGGATTACCTCCTTTTTGCTACTTTTTTGCTTAGTAGCTCATCATTAGAAATACATTGCTGTCTACTTACCAACCATTCATTTCTTCACTGCATTTTTGGGATACTCACAACTTTTATCTTCAATGATTGCAACCATATGGCTTCAATGAGAGAATATTTATGAGTTTTTATGACAGTGAGCAACTTGGAATAGTTGAAAGCATTGTGCGTCTTCCCATATATAATATATAGCCCAATCTCTTCCTTTTACTTATTTCATGCCCGGCCAATTTTCTATCGATAGTGCTTCTCCAAGACATACGTTATCAATGGACATATCATCAACTAAATACTATAGACTAGATATGCTATCCATATGATTTTTCCTGCATGGATTGTTGTGCCAATCTCTTTTGTATCCTCTCATATCTATCTCATTGAGGAGGCTCTGTAATATTCTGTGATTTATAGAATGGGCACAATGTCATCCAAGTGCTTTAAAAAGAGTGCTTTGAAGGCAGACTTCATTATCAACGGAGAGTTCCTCTTCCATTATGACTCTATATTGTCCACATCTTCCATGACAGAAGTAAACAAACCTCTTTGGTGAGTCTACAATTCCTTCTTTTATGCACTGATCAACAATAATCAGAGGATCATTTAACACAATTATTTCTGTGGTTGCATTTGTCAAGAAATCTTATTTGATTTTTACATACATGTGAGAGATTCCTTTTTTAGAGGAGGGCCTTTTGCGTGGTATTTTGATCTATTGTGTCAAATATTTCTTTTTGTTTTGTTTTGTTTTATTTTATTCTTAGGCAATTGGAGTTAAGTGACTTGCCCAGGGTCACACAGCTAGTAAGTGACAAGTGTTTGGTCTGAGGCCGGATTTGAACTCAGGTCCTCCTGACTTCAGGGCCGATGCTCTACCCACTGCGCCACCTAGCTGCCCCCAAATATTTCTTTATAATCAATAAACAATATGTGCAGTAAGATAACATAGTTTATGTACCTTTCAGGCTATTATGTGACTTTAAAGACATGGTCTGTTGCAGAAAACAGTATGCGAGAGTTTACCTATTCCTTCCTGATATTTTCATCAAGTATACCCTTGATCATTCTCATAAAGATTTTATAAAGAAGTAGGCATATAAAAAAGTAGACACGAATGTTTTTTTGAAATAGTAATATCATCTATGAATTTTTTCATTCTTTTGATATCTTTACCTCCGAGATATGTTGTAAAATGATGCCTAAATATGTTCAAGAGTACTTTGCTTCCAATACAGCATTCTGCTAGCCTGGCGAGACATTAAGTACAGATGCTTATTATCAGAAGGTTGACCGCTAGGTAATAATTATTTTTTTTTGTTATTGTAGCTCATAATACAAACAAACAAAAATCCCAACTATCTTTAAATGACCCTAAGTTCTCTGTAGCTTTCTTCTGTTGTGATGAGCAGTAAGATTCATCTAGTTCTCAGACCTTTTATTAATTTAATTGTTGTTACTTTAAATGGGAGATCTTGGTCCTGGGATCAATGAATTTAATCCATCAGCAACCATATGTGAGCCAGATGTATGCTAGACACTGAGGATACAAACAGAAAGAAAATAATAAAAATTTAAAAATAAACACTTTTAGGAGCTTATATTCCAACAGGGAAGACAAACTACTATATGATTACATACAGAATAAATGTAAAAAGGATAAATATAAGTTAATGCAAGGTAGTAAGAAAGGAAGAGCAGGAGCATTTGTAGGGATTAGGAAAGGCTCAGAATAATCAACACTTCTGCTGGGCTTGAAGTGAGTAAGGGATTCTAGGCAGCTGGTGATGCAGTAGATAGAGCACTGAGACTGGACTTAGGGAGGCCTGAGTTCAAATCCAGCCTCAGTTGCTTACTTGCTATGTGATCCTTTTAACCTGTCTGCCTCAGTTTCTTCAGTTGTAAAATGGGGATAGTACCTACCTCCCAGTATTGTTGTAAGGATCAGATGAGACATCTTTAAAGTGCTGGCACATGGTAGGCACTTCATAAATACTTGTACCCTTCCCCAACCTCCTTCCCTTCTTTAAGGCAGGGGTGAAGAGGAGTGCATTCAAGGCTTTGGGGATGTCCAGTGTAAATGCTCAAAGATGAGAAATGTTGTGATGTGTATGTGAGAGAGAGAAGATCAAATTGACTGGATGATAGAGTGGGAATAATGTATAATGAGGCTGGGAAGATAGTTTGGGCTTTAAATGCTAAATAAATATATTTTATATAAATATATTTTAATATATAAAATGAATATATTTTATCCTGGTGTCAATTGGGAGCCACTGAAGTTAACTGATCAGGGGGTTGAAATTGTCAGATCTACACTTAAGGAAAATAATTGAAAGCTGCGGGGATGATAGACTAGAATGGGGAGAGATTTCAGGCAGGGAAAGCAATTAGGAAGCTATTGCAATAATCTAGGGGAGAAGTGATAAGAGCTTGAATTAAGGTGATGGAAGAAAAGGATTGAATGTGAGAGACTTGGGGAAGTAGAAATGGCAATATTTGGCAATGGAAATGCAGATAGTGATGATGTAGGCCTCACCCTAGTAGTAGTGATGAGGTCTAGAGGTTAGGGGTCCTAGAAACCCAAAATCTGAGAGACTGGAAGAAAAAATGGTAGTGACTTTGACAGGAGTAAGGGAAGTTTAAAAGAAGGATGGGTTTATGGGGAAAGATTTAGTTTTGGACATGTTGAATCTGAGATGTCTTCAGGAAATGTCTGTAACCTGGGTTATACCCAAGCTTGGGGTGCTTTATGTGCTTCTGTCTCTGTGGAGGGAGATGTGACTAAATCATTGAAGAAGAGGATGGATGTAGTTCTGTGCGAGAGATTTGCTGATTTGGTGTAAGACTCTTGAGGAGAGACATATGGACAGAGGACTCTCCAGGGATGAAAGAGAGAAAGATTTTGGAATGACAGATATACAAGGAAAG